CTTTTGAGCTCTTCCAAGGCCTGGGACAGATTCATATTTTTCTTGGAGGCTTTGGATGTAGGAGCTTTGACTTTGTTGTCTTCTTCTGACTGTATATTTTGATCTTCTTTGTCACCAAAGTAAGATAATATAGTCTGACTCTTTTTGTGCTGCTTGCTCATGATCCCGGCCAATTATTTGAGTTTTAAACTCCTTGTTAAGGTAAGAGTCTGCTTCCAATGTGGAGACTGTACTGTCCCAAGCTTTGGGGGTTTGTATAGCTGTTTTCGGAGATACTTGTAGGGACCTGTAAATTTTCAGTTCTTGCAAGGTGGTATGATAAGGGGCAAGGTGTTTACTCCTTTCCTGGCCTGTGACCACAAGTATTCCTTTCTGTCCTGTAACTGTGAGGAGGGTTTCCTCTCCACAGCCAGTACAAGCTCCACCATGCCAGCGCTCCTCCTCACCCCAGGACTGCCACCCAGAACTGTGACCCAGATCCAAGCATGGCCAAAGCAAGAGATTCCTGCCTCAGTGCTGGCAAAGAGATCCCTGCAATCCCCCTCTGATCAGCCACTTGATTCCCCTTCAGTCTGTGGGCTGGAAGCTCAGGAGGCAGCTGCCTCCCCCCACCCCAGGGCCATGCTCTCGGGGAACTGGATCTGAGACCCCACACTCCTCTCTTAGCACTGCAGAAACAGACCTTTACCACTGATCTTCTAAGTTTTCTTTGGCATTCGTGGATTGAGGAGTCTGGAAACCACCACAGCCACCCACAATTCAGTCCTATGAGGCCTGCTCTATGTTCGCTGCGGCACACCCACGCCACACTGCACTCCGCTCCCAGCCTTGTGTGATATACCTTTTTGAGCAACCATCCAGGCTGTCTTGGGTTGGAAATTTGTTTCACTCTTTTTGTGGGTTCTGCTGCTTTAGAATTTGTTTAGAGCCATTTTTTATAGGTATTTGGAGGGGTTTGGGAGAGAGCTCAAGAAAGTCACTGCTTTCACTCCACCATCTTGGCTCTACAGAAAGAGTCTTACTCTTGACACAAAACTAAGAGAACTCATAACTTCTTTGTGCTACACCTCTCTGTGTTAATTGCATACAAGGGTGAGGGCAGTCAGATGCAGAATTAAGACAGGACAAGGATTTGAACATAGGCCTAAAATAGCCAGGATGCTTGGAGGCAGTATGGAGGCAGTATGCAAAGTAGAGAGAATATTAATGAGTGTTATTAATAATATTTTATAGACTTCTCAAAAAGTAGAATTAAAATTGTATCCAGGGTTTCCTTCTGCTCTCAAGACTAAAAATCATGAGCCGAGTGGACAGGGTAGGACAATGAAGGGGATCATTATGTGTGTCCATTCTCTTCTTTCCCCATTTTTTCCCCTCCAGCATGCACAATCGATAGACAGAGTGGTAGCTGGGAGGAGAAAAGTATAGTTTGGGAGAAGTGACCAATCTCTAAATTTCAAAAATAGAAGCTACTGTTTTGACTATATAATCAACCTTACCAGGCAGTGCCTCCCAGTGGCTACATATGAATTGCCCTGAAAAATGATCATATTACTAATGATTAAATGATTTAAGGTTAATTTCATGAGGGATTCTATGAAGAACAAATACATTATTTTAAAAATATTCTTCTAGATATAACATTTCCTCTGACCCTGAGCTCTTAACTTTTGTCCGTAATAAAAGTACACAGATGGTTCTGGAAATAACCTGTTCATTGTTTTCCTTTTTTTTTTTTTAAATGGAAACTGGTTTTATGGAATATTTCACCAAAACTGACACATTCAAAATTGAAGGGAGTTTTCTGCTTAGAACCTTTTTTTTTTAGCTATCATTAGAACATATCCAGGAAAATTCAGATTCTGAGATATTTCTTTTCACTCTCTATGATGTCTCATACATAGTAGTCACACAAGAAACATGTGGTGATTAATAATGTAAGCTTTTAGTGAAAATAAAACAATCTTATTTGAAAAATTTTCCTTTATACACATGAACAGAATCTTGATACCATATTTTAGAAAAGAATAGTTTTTCAGAGTAGCCCAACAAGAAAGAAAAGTTTTGATCTTGCAGTCACTATATGTATACACACACACACACACACACACACACACACACACACCATCTTCAAGTAACTAGATATAATCAAAAACCTCTGAGAAAAGAAAGATAAAGAAAGAAAATCAGAGAACAACTTTGAAAAACTAGACCAGATACATTATAATTGGCATCATACAAATAGCCATGCCCTATAATTCATACACTATGTGTCACTTATGTGAAGTTCCCTAGGCCATCCCCAGTGCCTGGAAAACATACCTCACTCATTTATAATTTTCTTTCTTTTAAACTTATTTCTTTTGCTTTTCCAGTTATTAATTACTTACTCTTTGCTACCTTGCCTCCAAAAAATTTTAAGAAAACAAAAACTTGTAACAAATATAAATAGTTAAGTAAGAAAAGGATCTTAAGGTAGCTTGGGTCAGGGACCTTCATACTTTCAGTCACCACTGGTCTGATCTCAGGTGAAGTCAGATTGCTTTCCCCCTGGTCTGAACTTTACAAGCTCCTAACCCTAGTTTGAGCCTAGGTTAAATAATTGCAGACTTGCTCCAGTTGGAGTTCCAGTAGATTGCTGCTTGCCCATGCCTTGTCTGCTAGCTAGAAGGCTCTGCACATTCAGAGGAAGAGAACTGCAGGTTCAGCCTGTTGTGAGTTTTTGTCTGGGGTTACTTAGCTCCTGACCCTTCCTGGGCCTGTGGGAAGAATTAGTGACTCCACAGTACTTTTTTGAAAAGGGCCTGGCCTGTGGTGGTACTCAAACAATCCAGCCAACTGACTCCAGAGTCAGAGCCACATAGCTGCTGCTTGCTTTTCTTCTTGCTCTTTACCCATACACAGACTCAAGCTTGGTCCTTACAGGTACTCCTGTAATAATATGACTCCTGTCATAATACACAGTCTCAGGCCTTGGTTTCAGTTAGTGCTGGATCCATGATCCAGCTTTTGGGTCAGAGTGACAGCTGCTAACCCGTTACTGTTCCTCTTTCCTACACAGGCTCAGTTTGAGCTAGATCCCTGAGCCCACACGTTGTTCTGATACAGAGTTACAGGCCTCAAGTCAATCCCAGTGTTGGAAGGCTCTGTGGGAGGACCTTGGAAGGCCCTCTCCAGTGGAGCAGGCCTCTGGATGTCTTCTTATCCTGAGCTTCCCTGAAAAAATGATCCACTATTGTTTCTCCTTGAATTTCCCAGTCATTACTTCTTGGTGCTCTGTCTCTGACTTTGCTGTAATAATTATATAGCTTGGTTGTAGGACTGCCTGTTTCACCATCTTTCCTATCTCCTCCAAGACTCTTCTTCCTTTAAGTCATATGTCAAGCACTATCTTCTCTGTTAAGCATTGCCTTATTCCCCATGTAAAGGTTTTTTCTCTCTTCTTGGTCTATAAATCTCCTTTGTTCCTGTGGTCTACTTTTCATCATATTTATCTATGTGCATATCCTGTTTTCCAAAGCACAATCTTGAGATCAGAGACTATCTATCTACCTATATCTATTTAGCTTATTGCTGTATCTGTTGCTATATAATACGCATCTGTACCTGAATAAGCTATCATAGCTTAAAACCGAACTAATACTTTTGGGATATTGTCTCTACATTGATAAGAGACAGTATGGTGTTGTAGAACTAATGATGATGATGATGATGATGATGATGATGATAACTGACATTTCTATAATGCTTGCTATGTGACAGACACTGTGGTAAGCACTTTACAATTATTATCTTATTTGTTCCTTACAACAGCCCTGTGATAAAGGTGCTAGTTTTGTCCTCATTTTATAGTTGAAGAAATTGAGCCAGGTAGAGGTTAAGTGACTTGCCCAGGGTCATATAGCTAGTAAATGTCTGAGACTGGATTTGGACTCAGGTCTTCTTGACTCCAGACCTGGTACTCTGTGTACTGTGATACCTCCTAGCTGTCTATAAGTGCTGCACTTAATCACGAAGACTTGGGTTCAGTTGCTATCTGGTTAATAGATATATATAAGCTTATAAATTACCATGCCTAATTTGACTTATCTCTGAAAAGGGCACAGTAATATCTGAAATAGCTCTTCACACTCAGATAAAGTACTGTATATAAGGTGCTTTGCAGGCCTTAAAGTAGTATCAAAATGCCATCTATTATCATTATTGCTATTATGTCTATTTTATATATATAGATATAGATATAGATATCTATATCTCTCTCTATATATATATACACACACATGCATGTATATATACAAATGCAAACATTTTTGCAGTGTATATAAGGACTTGGCAAAAAGGAGAAATAAACTGTCAGTTGTCTTCTAATTAAACTATTAGTAAAGATTTTTTGCTGGGAACATCTAAGTTGCAGGGATTCAGGAGTACTATTCATGCCTTATGAGTAATTTATAGATTTTGATCCTAGAATAGTTAAAGCATTTCCAGATTTTTTACCTTACCTATTCATTTACAACTTAGAAGCTTTTACCCAGATTTCATCCTTTTATTCACACATTATTGATAAGAACTCTGAGGTACCAGGAATTAGGTGATTTGTTCAGGATTATGTAGAAAACGAGTGTAAGAGGCAAGATTCTCCCATACACATCCAGAATTCTCTAGATGTCACTAAGTGCCCTAGCTTTTCTACTTTTCTTTTTCCTCTTTGTCTCTTGTAATAGGCTTTTCCCCCCTTGTGTAGTTATTCCAAAGGTACTTTATAATCATTTACGGTGCTTTTCTCCATAGGATGAGACTATCACGTACTTTGATGAGGAATCATAGATAGCTCACTCATAAGGACCATTTATTTTATGCACTCTAGATACTGTATGTGTAAAAGTAACAAGAAGTGTTTCCTTTTTATCTTTTATCTTTACTTTCGTTGATTTGAAAAATGAAATACGTTGAATTAACTTAGAGGTAACACTTTAACTCTACTACTGGTGTTTTCTCAGTTGTTTCTGAGACAGAGGACATATTAAAAGATCTGGAACAAATGCTACAGGAAGCAGGAGAGCCCGAGAAGACCTTAGGAGAGTCAGATGCCCGTGGAGATGAAATGCGTGCAGAAGGCAAGGTACTTGTGGCCCTTTGTATCATTGCTCCTGGCAGAATAGTCTCCTCAGACATTCTTCACAAGAGCAGAACTGTTTCTGCTGAGAGCTTCTAGGCTGAACATCACTTCATACATAATCAAAATTTATCTTGAATGTGGAGATCCAAAGTTTCCTGTGACCTTTAGCTGAATAATCAAATGATCATAGGATTCAGAGGTAAAAGAGGCCTTGGAGCTCATATAGATCACCCATTTCATTTTATTTTTTTAAAAAAGTTTGTATTGACATATTTTCTTTTTAAAGGACTTTTATTTTTTATTATCTGGGTTCCCTTCCCCTGCCTATGCAGGCTGGAGACATCCCTTCAGCAAATGAGAAAGGAAAAAAAAATCAGTTCAGAAAGAAAAAAGAAGAACCTAAAACATCTAGAGACTGGGTGTTCCATATGGATAGTCACCCACCTCTCCATAAAATGGTGGGAGTTGCATTTTCTTATCTCTGCCCTGGGGCCATGCTTTAAACTCTTCCATTTTAGAGAGGGGGAAACTGAGCCTCAGAGAGGTTAAGGCACTTGTCCAAGGTCACAGGGCTAGTGAGTGTCAGAAGTAGCAGGGTTGATGGAGCCTGGCGCAAGTGCAGAGTAGCTTAGGGATTTAAAAGACGTTTGGTCAGAAAAAAAGGAATGAATTATGGTATAGAAGTTCTTCTATTCCTTTGAACACTTAGGATCTTATCTGAATATTTGTAAGGGAAGTTTATACAGATATAAATTGGTAAGTTATACTTCTGTCTCTCTTCTTACTCTTCCCCTTGTTCTCCCTTTTATCAGCCACATATATACAGAGCTACTTGGGTAACTAGATAAGGGGGATTCTGTACATATAGTTTTCCTGGGCTTTATTAAAGCATTTGTCAGTCTCTTGTGCTATTCTTACGGACAAGATGGAATGATTTGGGCTAGATGGTACTGTGATGTATTTAGGTAGATCTGGAACTAGAACTGGTCAAATTGTTGGACCCAAAGAGGAATCACTTTTTGTCAACTTGTAAGGAAGGAGATCTTTAGTGAGTGGCCGTGCGGGAAGTTTCTTCGTCGAGAGTTCCCTCTAGGAATGTTATCCCAGATCAACTCCTTCCCCCCCTTCAAAAAGAAGAATTGATGATTTGGATAGAGGCGCTGATGACGTTCTTATCCCATTTGTGAACGATGCCGGTGTAGAAGGGATAGCCAACACATGGAATGACAAAGCAAAGGACCAAAAAGATCTTGAATGGCTAGATTAGGACCCTGACCCTAAAATGGGAAACTTCACAGGGAGCAATATGAAGGTTATGCACAGGTTTAAAAAATCCCCATAGACACGAGATGAGGACACGTGGCTGGATAGTTCTGTCTTAAAAGAGCCTAGGCATTTTTATGGACAACAAGCTCACTGTCAGTGAGTTAGTCATGGCATATGACAGTCAAAACATTGATGCGATCGTCAACTGCAGTGAGAAAGGCACAGAGTCTGGGCCTGGGAATGCAACGGCTCCTCTGTCCTCCATCAGGGTCAGGCCGTATTAGCAGTATTCTCTTTAGTTCTGGGCACCCCATTCAAGGATGAACTCAAATGGAGAGCGTCCAGAGGAGGGCAGCTTCAGTGGGGGAAAGGTTATGCCACATAAAGAGTGGCTGAAAGTAATGATAATGTGGCACCTGAAGAAGGGGAGCACATGTTGGCTGTCTTCATGTATTTTAAATTCTGTCATGTGAGAAAAGAATGAAAAGTTCTACTTGGGCCCCGTGGGTCAAACAAGGAGTCTCTGGGCCTATGGTCCATAGATCTGCCTCCTTCCCCCAGACCACTCAGGGGTCTACGGATAGTTATCAGGAGGGGGTGGGTCATGACTGTGGATAGGAAAATAATTATGTCTTTATTTTCACTAACCTCTAACTCTAAGGATTTCTTTCCATTATGGATTAAGAAGAAATATTAACCCATTCTGAGGAGTTCATAGGCTTCACTAGCCTACCCAAGGGGCTCATGACACAAAAAGGATTAAGAACCTCTGATATGAGGAAAATTTCCTAACAGCTAACTAAAAACAAAGTGGACTGCCTTGGGAGATTGTAGATTTCCTCCTTAGTAAAGGAATTCAAGCAAAGCCCAAATGACTTCTTGTTGGGTATGTTACGGAGAGGAGTGGGCTACATGGCCAATAGGGTCTCTTCCAGCTCTGAGTTTCTTAGAATTCTTCTACAAATAGTCTCTTCTTAGAAACTGACTCATTTGTAAATGGATAATCAGTTTAGGAATTGTGAGGTAGTAAAAAGAACACTGGATTTGGGGTCAGAGGACCTCAATTCAAATCCTCCTATGTGTAATTTTAGTGTGAGGCAACCTCTTTGGGTCTCCATTTCCTCATCTGTAAAATGAAGTTAGAAGTGGAACTGAGAGAAGAAAGGAGTGAGCGTGGCTGCCCCAGGCACTTCCTCAAAATGGAATATCTCGGAGGAACTCACCTGTCAGGGAAGAGGGCGTCAAGGCTGGAGGCATTTTTCAAGAGTGAGAAGGCTGCCTGTAAGTAAAGCATAGCATAGTTAGTGGTTTTGAGAAATTAATGGAGCTTTTAAAGGCAGGTTTAACATGACCAAAAACTAGGTTAGGCAAAGGGAGAATTGGGTTTTTAAAATAAACAATCCAGAAAGGACCAGAATGATCATTTTCAAGTCGTGAGCATGCTTGGTCTCTGGGAATGTTGTGTTTGGGATATTTTGGGTTCTAAAGTTTAGTCATTGTTAAAACAGGCCTGACTCAGGCAAGTACCCTGTTAGTTCAGGTTTCATGTGGAATGAAATGAAGCATTAATAGGTGAGCAGTTGAAAAAGGAAGTTTACTTAGCTGTAGCATAAAGATATGGTCTTATTTGTTTCCAGTGAATGGGGTTTTCCTGGCTTTCATATGGGAGCGTGTCTTGTCCACAGGGCAGGAATGGTGATTCACACAGTCTTGGAATATTCACCAAGTCTGAGGGGCCCAGACTACATACTTACATAGGTGAATCCTAGGTGACCAGGAAGCGAGGTCAACATGGCAGGATACTATCAGAAAACTGTATCAAGGGAAGTATTGAACCACTCAGGTTCTAAGAATAACACTAGCCTAATCTGTGTTGGGGTGGAAGAAAAAGGTGGGGAGAACCCTGTAGATAAATTTGGTACTATCACCTCAACGCTTCTACTTCATTTCATTGAGTTTTGAATGTTTAAGACCACAGATTACTCTCAATGGTTTTCCCTACTGGAGGGAAACAATAGCATGTATGATTTTAGCACACCCCACTGAAGCACAAACACACACACACACACACACACACACACACACACACGCAAAGACCCATCAAATAATCAAAGCTCCATTGTCTTTGGCCTGGAAATATATTGTTTTATCTCTACAATGCAGATTGGAATTCCTTATTTTGTTGCTCTTGGGCTAATTGTTGGCATTTCTTAAGCAGCAAGGCAGGACTAATGAAATGATGAGGAATTAATAAAGAAAGACCTGACCTGGCTGACCCCAAGTGGACAGTCCATATAAAAGGGTCCTGTAATTATTGACACTAAAAGAGGTGGCTTGGTGGCATGGGAAGAGCAGCAGCCTGGAGCTCAGAGGTTCCAGTTAAACTTTACTATTTAGTAACTGTGTGATCTTAGGTCACTGAACTTCTCCACATTTTCATTTCTTCCTCTGTACACATGGGGATAACAATGTCTGCCTTACCTTACAGAGTTGTTGCCAGGATTAAGTGAGATAATATAGGAGCAAATGCATCGAAAATCTGAAATGTGTTGTTGCTGATATGTTAGTGAGAATATAATGCCTACTCTCTCATTTATATAAAAATCTTTGTGAGAGACATGTATATATGAATCAAGAATATCTTCAATAAGTATTTTTGCAGGAAACAAGTTGGCTTTCACAAGCAGTATTCAATAATGGACTACATCTTTACTGTTTCACAGTTAACTGAAAGATGTGGAGAATAAAGGATCTCATTGTGCTTATTGTTTGTTGATCATGAAAAAGCATTTGCTTTGGAAGAACAAAACCATGTCTTACAGACTCTTTTGCAAAAGAAACTGCCATACATCAAAATCATTCAGGATTCCTTGGAAATTGTAACATCAGAAATAACCTTGTTAATGACCCTCTGATAGTAAATATCCAGAGTCCAATTTTTGGAAGATTGATTCACAATGGACAGTGATAGTCTCCAAATGGTCCTGTTTATGGGTTTCATCAAATCTTAGAACTTTGCAGAGTTTCCTGGAAGAGCTATGCAATCACTTATATGAAGAAGGCTAAGTGGATGGAGAATGTTAATTGCCCAAATTTCTGTATGCATTTGGATGGATTTGCTATAGAGTTAGTCCCTCAGTGTGGATGTCTGGGATACCTAGTATAAACAGACAACAAGTTGGACCCAGAGTTGAACATGATGAGTAAAAGGGTGGCTAGACAGCCTTTGGAAAATGACAAAGCTCTTCACTGATCCAAGCTTCCCAGAGAGCAAAGGCCCATCTTTTTAATTATGACATTCTGCCAATATTATGTTTTGGCAATGAGACATGGAGCAGCACTCTGTCTGGAGAATTATAAATGCTTATTATGGAGAGGTCCATAAGGAAAGGATGATGCATCCAAGTGGGCACACACAACCAATGAGGAACTCAGAAGAGCACAAGGAAAGCATCTTATCAAGGAATTCTAGCACAAGCAGAGAAGATGGGCTGGTCACATAGAAAGGATGAGGGATGACAGGTGAATGAGCAGAGTACTCCACTGGTAGCCACACGTGGTCAGAAGGAAGCGCGAAAGACCTCTAACTCTGGGTGGACTTTGATGGTGATGACTTAGGAAAATGTGCACAAGAATTGTACAGGATGGAATATGTGACTGGCTTTGAATCATTTTTGTTGGAAAGTACATGAAAACAATGAGATCACAGATCCATGAGAGGATTTTAATATTAGTAAAACATGAATTTTTGATACACAAAAGCACTGATCTAAATTGCAAATAGTTTTTTATTCTTTTTCTGAGTTAGCTTCTAAAGGAGCCTGAAAGATAGCCCATCACAAACATTAAGTGCTTACTATGTTCTAGCATTGTGTTAGGCTCTCTGAAATGAAACAATTCTTTCCCTTGACAAGATTACCTTCTTTTGGGGGAAAACAACTGGTACATGGTAAGGATATACAAAGTAAGTCCAAGGTACTATGAAGGTAAGACATTAGCACTCCCAATGATGGCAGGCTAAGCCTTGAGCATCTCTTCAGAGGTGTGAGTGAGGAGGAAGTGCATCCCAGGCATAGGGCATAGCCAGTACAAAGGCCAGAGGTGGGAGGTGGAGCATTCTATGTGGGGAACAGCAACAAGGATAGCCTGAACTCTGTGTAAACCGAAGTGATATAAAACAAGCTTGGAAAGGTAGTTAGGGACCAGTTTGTGAAGGGCTTTAAATGCCAAACAGAGGAGTTTTCATTTCTTGTTATGAGTAATAGGGAGCCACTTGGGTTTACTGAATATCAGAGTTACACAATAAGACATGTTCTTTGGGAAAATTACTTTGGCAGCTGAGTCAATCAGGCCGAGAGAAGGGAGAATTGAAGCTAATGAAGAGAGAGAGGGAGGGTGGGAGTGCAGAGGAAGAGATAGAGACAGAGAAACAGACAGTGGCAGACTGAAAGGAGGGAGAGGGGAAGAAAGGAGAGGGGTGAGAGGAGAGAGGGACAGATAAAATGGAAAATAGTCCCCAGGAAAATGCCTCGGCATTTGATGTTAACATCTCACAAATGTTTTTCCCTTAATACTTCTCCAGGCCACATCAAGATCATTGTGAGTCCTTAACCCCAGCCACTAAAAAGGCTGTATAGTGACAAGAGGTTTTGTCTTTACTAGTAATGGCTTTAAAATTATTCACACTAATCTAAAAGAGAAATCTTCAAGGTCATTCATGACATTGTTTACAAAGATAAAACCAAGGTAAAAAATTCCCGTGATAAAAAATCTTGCATTTCTAATATACCTTATTAAAATATTAGAATTGGGAGAAAGGCTGCTCTCACATTATCAGCCTTTGCTGTTCACATCCAAGAAGCTTTAGCATGTGTCTCTGAGGCCGTGTGGAAGAGTTGGGGTGAGTCTGTGATATGACTAGGGCTTGTTTTTTGAGACTTGCACACTCCTTCATCCCCAGCACACCAGCAATAGCAACAGTTCATATTGACATAGCTCTTCATTTTGCTTCATAAACTGTAAAGCTCATTATATAGATGTCATTGCTGTTATTTCTCACTGCCTCCCTGTGTTGGGTTTTTATCCCCATGTACCAACATGGACGCTAAAACTCTGAAAGTTTGCATGGTTTCCTCAGTCAAAGCTGTATCTTCCCAGTTCACACCTAGGGTTTTCTCCCACAGTCCACAATGTTGCATTGGATTTTTTTTTCACATAGTTGCCAGTGCATAGTTTAGGTCTAGGGAAGTTTTGTGTGGGGCTTGTAAACTGTGTGTGTTGTTATTCTCTTCAGGTATCTCTGTGCAACACAGAAACTTCAGAAGAAATCCTTTGTGAAAACCAGTGTGAAGAAGATTGTCTTATAATTGATGGAGTGCCCTTCAGAACTGGAGAATGTATTGAGAGTATAACTGACAAGTTTAAAGAAATAGATGCTTTGATGTCTGAGTTTTAGACCAGCATGTAAATGACTAAAAATTATCTATTCATGTGGCTATCATTTTCATATGACTAAAGTATTTAAAATATAAGGTCCAAGAGGTAAAAGCAATACAGAAATGATACATTTATTTATTTAAAATTTATTACTTGACTATGGCAATCAAATGATGTCCATGTGAATACTTAAGACGAAAGTGAATAAAAAATTTAACTCTTTGTTTTGATCTGTCCTCATATATTTAAATATTTACCATAAAACTACTTAAAATAACAAATATTACAATTACAGATGGGAATAATGGACATTCATAGAGTACCTTAAAACTTGTTAAGTGCTTTCCAAACATTAGCTTACTTGGGTCCCTCAAAAACCTGGCAGGTATTGGAGATATTATTCTTTCCATTTTACAGATGATAAAACTGAGGCTCAGATAGAGTAAGTGACTTACCCATGGTCACAGAGCTCATGGATATCAAAAGTAAAATTAAACCCCATGTCTTTATTACTGTGAGCTCTATATTACATCCACTGCACCAGCCTATTGTCAATTTATGTGGATACTTCATTCAAATATATACTATCAAGACCTGGGAACTAACTCACTTTTGCTATTTTCATTCTTCACTTACAATAAAACTTTGTGGGAAACCTCTGATGGTGGTATAACCTGTCTGTAGCTTAGTAGAGTAGTTGCAGACAGTGGCTTGAGATGCATAGAGGTTAGATGACTTAGGCTGGGTTGACAGCTATCAGACTCAGAATTTGAACCCAGGTCTTCCTAACTCCAAGTCTTATACTCTGTCCACCAAGTCACTGCTGCCTCATTATTGATTTGTTATGTATATTATATATATATATATATATATATATATATATTTTAGTGTGATTCAATAATTGCTAAAATCTTTGAGTAAAAAGGAAAACATATACAAAATAAATATAGTCATGGATTTTAAAAGGGTTTTAGAGCCTGATGTCCTTTTGTGTTTGTTTAATTTTTTTTATTATAAACTAAACAAACAACACTGTCATTTCTCTATGCAAAGAGCGTAAAGAAGACAGATGAATGGGAAATCGTGACCCTCTGTTAGGTCCAGCTCATTTTTAAAAGTGTACACTTTAACATAGGTTACAGACACTGTTTTGCTTATCTGTGTTCCTTTCTGAATTTCCTTTTGCTTTCTTCTGTATTTTAAAAATGTTTCATTTTTATGCTTCCGTTTTTATTACAATCACTATCCCCACTCTTCTTCCACAATCTCCTCCCTTCTAAAGTAAAAGTCCTCCTTTGTAACAACCATGTAGGTGTGTATTTCAGCAAAGCACATTCATACATTGGCTGTATCTCATTATGTCTCCTTGTATAAACCAGGGGTGGGGAACCTGTGGCCTTGAGGCCGCATGCGGCCCTCGAGGTCCTCAGGTGCTGCCCTTCCACCGAATCCACACTTCACAGACCAAGTCCACTTCGTAAAAATATTTGTTTGGTCAAACATGGACTCAGTCAAAAGGCTGCGCTCAAGAACATAGAAGGTCACATGTGGCCTTGAGGCCACAGGCTGCCCGCCTCAAACTGTTACCGTAGTTCGGCTCACTTGACTCAACAGGTGATGCACTGGTTCGTGTAAGTCTTCTGAAAATGCCCTGTTTTTGTCCTTTCGTCATTTGTTAAAAACTCGACAATACATTGCATTTGTGTGACATACGTTGTTAGTATTCCCCAATGTTTGCGTGCCTTCATTGTTTCCAGTTCTTTGCTCTACCAGAAAATTCTGCTACCTGAACCCGTGGGTTCTTTTTCTCTCTGTTTAATCTCTTTGGGACATATACACACACATGTACAGATGTGGAGGTATATATATATATGTGTATACAAACAGATGTATATAGGTATACACACATATGTATGTATGTATGTGCATGTGTATATACCCATATGTTTTAGGAATGAATGGTTCCAAATCCATTTTGAAAATTGTTGGGTACTTTTTGAGTTCATAGTTAGCACAAAACACTGGATAAATGGCTCATAATATATTCTTCTTGGTAGAGAAGGGCAGTGGTTGGTGACGGTGGTGACCAAGGATTGGGTTCCCAGGCCTCAGCTAGAAAGAAAACAGCTCCGGCTGCCCTGTTCAAGTGCCCTTGTGCCTTGTCTCAAACTAAGAGCTTTCTTGGGCCTACTGCACACTGAAAGCTGGAACAAAGGGACACAAGGCAATGTATGTGTCTGGGTTGACCACAGATGTTTATGAGAAGTAGGATTATGTTGGTCATTTGTAATTTATACCAGAAGAAAGGAACATGCTTAGAAATTGGTTCCAGCCAAGCCCAGATGAAGCAGAGAGAAGGAGCAAGGGAAAGAAGGACCATCGGTTCCTCCATATTCCCTGCAAAGTGCTGGCGTCCTAGCCAGCCATTCAAGAAGCCACAGTCAGAAAGTCTCTTACCTTGTTGCTTGTCTCTTCAGCTCTTGCTTCTCCCTGAGAGTCTGTGGAAAGAAGCCCGATGAGCTGCTGTTACAAAACATTTTTGTTCTTGTTGCTCCCACACTGCTGGTGCCCTGCTGCTCCGAGAAGCCTCCTCCCTTCTCCTCTTGATGTTTCTCTTCCAACTTAAGTATCTATCCCCAAGCCATGTGATATTTCCTTGCCTTGAAAAATGAGAAAAAAACTCCAAATTTTGGCAGTCTGTATAGCTAGGCCATTCCTCCCCTTGTATGGGACCTCCTAGTTCTGGCCTGGATACACAGATTTGCCTTTTGGGTACTGTTCCAAGTGTTTTTCAGAAGGGTCAGACCAATCCTTAGGTCTACCAACAGTACATTAATGTGCCTAGCCTTCTACAACCCTTCTAAAAAATTGTCATTTTTCTTTTTTTATCTTTTCAAGTCTACTGAGTGTGAGGTTGTCTTAATACAGACTCAGAGGTTTGGAATACAAAAGTAGCTTACTGGGGAAGGCAACAATCTCTTCTACTTATGTTGCTAAGGGCAAAAGCTGAGGGGCACATGATTTGGGGCTTTGCCCAGAGTCGTAGTCTTGGTGTCAAGTACAAGGGGCTGTAAATAAGTAATTCCCAATTTATCCCTCACTCTTTTTATTTTATTTTATTTTATATTTATATTTATATTATTTTATTTTATTCCCTAAATAAAACAAGAACAACAAGAACAACGACAACAAACTTAAGACCCAGAAAAGGTTACTAGATTGCCTCACAGTCTTGGGCTACAGCTCATACCTCTAAAAAGAGAACTAGCTGGCCTAAGAAGCACAGGACCACTGGACAAAACCAAAGCAACAATGATGGGAGAGGACAGCAAAAGCCCTGACTAGCAAGCTTTACTGAAGGGGGAGATTCACATAGTGCGGGGCAGTTAGGGAGGATAAACATACACAGAGCAGGCTGCTGGGTCCTGGATAGAGTTAGTCACCCAATGTGAGGAAAAGCAAGTATAAAGTTCTTATCTGGGTCAGGCAGGACTAGGTACTGGAGGTAGGGCAGGGGGAGCTTAGACCTAGGATGTAAGTCAAGATTGAGGACCACTTTTGACCTGTGGCAGGGGAGGAACACAAGGAGAAATTGGCCACTAGTTGATATCCAAATTTCCCACTGGACGGAAAAGAGGCTTTGGGCCATTACTGCTGATTTTATTCTGACAGGGTGGCTCAGCTGTCTTCAAGCTTCTTGAGTTTTTTTGTTTAGTGGTTGGGGAGGCTATTGTATTCTTTAAAGAAGTAGAACTTCAGAATTATTTTAATTCACCTTTCTGTATCACTAATGTAAGGGCTGTGTGTGCATGTGAGACTGTTTTGCCCATGTAGTCAGACGGAAGAGTACTGGGCTAGAATTATATCTGTCTTCCCCTTTAAATATTGTTAGTTGAGGGGAAGTAGTTTTCAGGTTTAAGTTACAGCTCCAGATCATTATTTCTTAATGGGGAAAAGAGGGTCCCGAGCTTTCTATCCAGGGCTTGCCTCCACCCGCTTCCCACCAGAGGCCAGTTCCACAATGATCATGCATAGCAAATAGCAAATAAGCACCTTTATCTCAGTCAATAGCAAAACAGAAGTCAGAGAAAGTATACATATGAGAATATATAGCAGATAATATTGAGTGAATGAGTTCTCACTTGGGAGCAGTGTAACTCAGCTCAACCAAAAGAGAGTCCCAGATCTCACCCAAGGGGAAATTCTCTAAAATCTCTAGTGTAGCAAACTGGGAACGGGGACATGATCGAAGTACTACATGTCAACTCCTCCCAGAATCTTTCTTCCTTCAGAGCCCGGAAAAGAGTTTGGAATCAGGGCCATCTCTTGACAGCGAAAGTCAGAGAAGCCCAGAATCTCGCTTCTCTCCCATTCTCACCAACTTTGTCTGCCCCTCACACAGGCACAGGGCATCAAGTAATTAATCCCCACCAACGAGGAGAGAGTCCTGTGTAATTGGCCCTTTCAGCGAAAAGTTACACTACTGATTTAGAGCATTTTTTCATATGGTTGCTTGGTAGCTTGCATTTCTTCTTTTGAGAACTCTGTGTTCCTAGCCTTTGACCATTCCATTGAGGAATGATTCTTGTCTTTATATTTTTGAATAAGCATCCTATATAATAACAATTCTCCTTTTCTAATTTGTTTATGATTTTACCTTTTATATTTAAGTTATGTATCTATTTGGAGGGCATTATAGTATATGATGTGATATGTTGATTTATGTCTAATTTGTTACACACTGCTATCCAGTTTTCCTAGCATTTTGTTGAACTGAATCCTTACCTCAATAATTGACATCTTGGGTTCATCAAACCTATGCCACGTATTTGATTGCTTCTGGATTTTGTGAACCTATGCAATTTTATTAATTAACTTTTCATTTTTCTTAAAGCAGTATCAAATTATTTTACCAATTACTGCTTTGTAGTCTAGTTTGAGACCTGACTTGGTCCCTTTGCTTTCCATCTTTCGCCCCATTATCTCCCTTGAAATTCTTACCCTTTTGTTTCCCTAGATGACTGTTTTTATTATTTTGTCTAGTTCTTTAAAGTGATCCTTTGGTAGCTTGATTGATCTGGCACTGAACCCATAAATTAATTTAGATAATATTCTCATTTTTACTATATTAGCATGGCCCAACCATGAGCAATTAATATCCTTCCAATTAAAATCTTCCTCCATTTCTACAAAGAATAGCTAGTAGTTGTATTCATACAATT